TTATAAAGGCAAAAATTGGAATGAAAGATTACTGGAATTCGAACCCACTACTCTCGGATTACCAATTGAAAGTTCCTCGGATGGCTGGTCTAGTTTGAAACAAAGACGCAGTCCGCTTATTGAGAGGGATTGATAGTCTGTATAGAAGATGTACTGACTTCAATTTGTTTCAAGTGATATTGAGTTCATTGCTTTTTGTACAGTTATATTAAGAAAAGGTGAAATCAATTTATCTTTGAACATGTTTAATCTTGTTCTTGGAATATCGGCACAAATTTGAGGACATATTCAACTTTAAATTATCATTTAGTTATTATTAGGCCTTGATACAGACTATGCCGGGTGCATATTGCGCACCCTACAACTTTTCGCATCCATACAGGTGCATATTTGCGCCGCTTGTCAGATACTGCACCCTAAAAGGAACAGATCAGCACCCTCTGCGAAATACCCGTACTAGGTGGGTGCAAATCTGCACCCTTATTTCTTTATAGTGTGTAGGCCCCTACTGTGTTTTACTGGTCCTCATAAACATCAATTGTAAACTCTTATTTCACTTTAAACCTTACTTCCTTCTTTCTCTCTATTTGTTTCTTTTGTTTACTCCTCCTTCCTATATTTCTTCTTTCTCTTCTTCTTTTTTCTACGCCTTTTATCATATCATAAGCTTAGCTTCTAAAAGGGTCCTAAAGCCATTCATTTCATAATGTAATCATGTTATATATGTTGATTAATGTACTATTACTTATCCTTTTTTTTTTATGTAAACTAATATTTCACGTTTTGTGTGGTTTTTAATAAAATGAACTTGAACTTGAACAGTGTAATAACCGAATATTTTAATTTCATATATTTACCTATTTTACATTTTACTATTTGCATGTATGTTATACGTTGCATTTTTTTGTTGTAAATTCAACATGTTTCAGCTTTTAGCTTTTTTTTTAATTTTTATCAATAAACCTTTTCATTTAAAATCAATTCATATGATCAATACTTTTAGGCGATTAGCATAGCCAGTTATTGATTATTCCATTAATGTTTCCACTGATGTTGTTATGATGGAATTATTACGGCCAGTATTATTCTTTTCGTCGAAAATACACTTGGAAGATAGCATTACACGGTCAGAATGTGGAAATGAGGGAAGGCAAAGACATAATTGTCATACAAGTAGGCGTTAAATAAAAAGAGTTGTATTGCCCTATGCGGCCGACCCAAAAATCTTAAAATCTACGGCCGGCTTTTGAATAATTTGTTTTCTAACGTTTAATGATTAAACAAATATGTATTTTGTTTGTTTAAAGCTTATCTGCCATAGTTTACAGGAGGGATTAGAGCGCTCTGCAAGGTCACTGGACAGGTGGTTATCTCATCAACTCAGCTCTCAGTTAACATAAGAAAAAGAGGATCATGGGGGACCAATGGTCACCGATTAGGCTTTGGTTGTTATATAGAGGGCGCAAGTAGCTACAAGTAGTGCAGTGGGCCTTTAAGTGAGATATAAATACATACAACCATCAAATTAATCCCAAATTCTCACTCGTTTTCTGCCCTAGTTTCGAAAGTCTGATAGCGTAAACAAGTAGACCCCGGCCCCGTGTATATACGTGTGTACTGCACCAGCTAGAAACCTGAGAGATTCGGGCGACGTTCCCGGTTTTGAGTTGAAAGGTTAAAAGAATCCTTAAAAAACACTTTAAAGCCCCACTGTACTACTTGTAACTACTTGCTCCCTCCATATAGAAAACCATGCCTAATCGGTGACCATTGGTTCCCCCATGATCCTCTTTTGTTGATGAGATAGCCACCTGTCAGTGACCACCCTGGGTGGTCTAATCACTCCTAGCCAAACTAGTACAGACGGCCTTTAAAGGTATTATAAAGTTTTGGAAATTTTGAAAATTGGCTGGAAAGTGTTTTTTTTTTACAATTTTGATATATTTGGATCCCCCTGTGATGTTTACTAAGCACTAGAAAATTTAGCCCCTAAAACACTTCTGCTTTCGAGAAAAAGTAAATATCAAAATGTACCGGTGCTCCCGGTAAATTTTCATGAATTTCAAATAACCCCTACGGCCATACAATAGTAGTAGCTGCGACCATAAAAAAATCCAGAATATGTAGTATATCTTGAACTTGAGAGGGAGCTATACAACTTACAATTTCACCACCTAAGACTCGATTTCAACCGCGACGTTATTGTAGGATCGCATATACTTTCAATGTTTATTTGAACCAAATTCATGACCCCGTACCCAAACTTTGCATTACATTTAAGACAGTTCTTCTACTTAAGGCCATGATATTATTCATTTCGAGTAACCGATATTTCTCCCAGTGTTAGCTCAATGAACCCAGTGGAGTATTGCTATTCAAAAGGATTGTCATTATGTTTAATAGAAGCTGAGCTGAGGATAAAGGATGTTGAAAAATGCATCAATTTTATTTTAATGTATTTATTATATGTATGATTTTTGTTATGACTGTGTTTTTGGAATATTGATCCATAATGCAAGCAATTAGAATAGGGCTATCATGTAACACATAACTATTGGTGAACACTGTGATGGTTCTGGAATCGTCAAAAATGATAATAGATTTGCTCTGTCTTGCTCAGAGTCACGTGCATTGTACAAACTGGTAGCAGCATTGTTAGAAATGTAAATACTACCTAGGGACGGCGTCATACACCTACACGTAGACAAAGCACCCCCCCCCCCCCCCCCTCCCCACACAGTTCACTCTGTTATACCAGTTATTTTTAAAAGAGAAAGAAGAAAGACAAAAAGGAAATACTGGTCATATTCATTTATTTTTAATTTGTTCCCCTCTCGATACAGCAGTTACAACTAAAACAGTATTGGCAATATAACACATATCAAGAAAGAAAGGAACGTAACATTGAAATTGTTGCATATACATATATATATCGAAGAAATAATAAACATGTACAAGGTGAATCATTTCGATGATGTAAATGTTATCACGAGCATTAATAGTAAGACTCGATAATGGTATTTAGAACAGTACGACCCTGTTGTTTGTACAATACTATGTGCATCACTATAACTCAGATAACTTCTTTCTTCAGTAATTATTTAAGTTGACTCTATATCAATAAAATGACATCATTTACAATTAAAAATATCATTTTGTTCGGCCTCTTTCCAATTTTGGTATATTCTTATACATATGACACAAGCTTTTTGTTTTCTTTACCATTTTGTCTCAATTAAGGATCGTTCAGTAATGAGGAGGTAAAACAGAGGCGGTTCTTTTTTTAAATGACAGCCTATTAAAGTGAATACGCTTCATATTTATCTGCATTTCATAACACAAGCTCTGTGAATACGCGTACGTGGGACCTTTTTTGCGTTTATATAATTTTTTGTTTTTCCGGCGGTTTACCGCGTGATACCTGAACGAGACTAGTGATCAGCAATATAAATGCTAGCAAAAACAAGCAAATGAACGACATCAAAGACGGGATTTGGGGGCTTAATTGCTGAAATAAAAACAACAACAACACGACCATGGATAAAATGCTTGTAAAACGGGAAGAAGAAAAAAAAAGCAAATGCTTCAGGCAAAGCTGAAACGGTCCTACTTTGTGGTAGGCAGAATTGTGCTCTCCGCGGCCACATGGATGACAGCCGATGAAATCAGCCACTGTGGCAATTTCTGAGCATTTCTGGAGTACAGAATTAATGGCGGGGACAATCTGCTGCAAAAGAACTTAGAATCAGGAAGGGTTCGCTGTCATCAACTCCAGCATCATTCACTGCAGATTGGGAGAGTGCCGAAGAGAAGAAGCGATCAAGTGGATGAAGGCTAAATAAAAAAAATGGAAACATCTGCGAGCGGCACCAAAAGTCTTTACTGTACAGAGAAGATCACAAAGTCAACGCAAAATGTTGCGTAATAAAGGACGACGGGGGGGGGGGGGTGCTCGGAATGGTGACTTTTTCAGGACAGATCCTAAGACATGGGTCCCCTTTTTCATTTAAAAACAATCCTTAGACATGGGTCCCATTCTAAAAAAAAACTTAGACATGGGTCCCTTTTTTCATTTATTCCTCTCCCCTCTTTTTCTCCGCTGGAAATGATATGATCGGCAGCTATACCCTGCCCGTACCCTCTGCTCAGCAGCCGGGAAGCAGCGGGGCTCAAAGGCTCAAGCAGGGAGCTATATAGCCGATGCTTGAGCACTTGTGTACGGCTACGGGGCGGCTGCGGAAGATCCATGTACTGCGCTGAGCTGCATGCATCGATATCTACAGTACCGGTCCAGCAGCGCCATTCGCCACGTGCCGCCAGCTAGCTGTACGCTGTGTCAACGCCAACTGACGATCACGCCCCAAGCTGGAGCACTGGGAGAACAGCCTTACGAGCCTTTTACGGCCATGGATTTTGAGGTTAATTCTCACTTATTTACAATCAGTTTTCTAAAAAAATTATAGAAATTCAATGATCGAATTCGAATCAGCCGGCAAAAATAAGTCTAACTTAATATCTACTTTAGATTATTAATTATTCGAAATCCAGTGACTAGGCATATTTTGACCAAACTTTTAAATCTTTTCACTTGGGTAAGGTAAATCGCATTATTTTGTCAGGGCAACATGGACGCAAAGACTACAGTATACATGTGGATTACAATAATGAGAAAAGGACATCCCTTAGTGTTATTATTTCTCCATATCAGCTAGTGGACTTCAATGAAGATGGTTCACAGAACTACATAGAAGTAAGTGATGTAAACACTATTGCCTTTGTTGATATTTTTACTAAAGTGAATTTGTCATGCAAGGGGGATAGTTATACTCCGCCAAAGGAAGAGATAGAAGAGCTCAGGAAAAAGTCTGATAGTTTGGTAAGAGCAAAAACAACTAGATGTACTTCTAGAAGACCAAGGGAGCGAGAGCAAGACAGCTTTGATGGCACTGTGCGAGTGACCATTCGTCCTGAAGAGCCTTCTTCTAACCAGTGTCTCGGCCATGATTCAACATCTGAAATGGGAGAGCCTGGAGATCCAAAACAACACAGTAGCCATCAATGCACACCATTACACAGCACCCATGATTGCCAGCAACACACGACAGTATCACTCAAAGAAGTTGCTGGCTATCCGATCCCGCACCCAGCTCTACCAGAACTCATTTTTCCCTCGGACAGTAACTGCGTGGAATGCACTTTCAAAGATCACCCTTGACGCTACTTCACTGGAGGGCTTCAAGGGAGCGCTTCCACCCAGCATCTAGACCAAGAACTAGATAGTTTATTCCTCAGCACTATACATCCTGACTTATGGATCCTGCTGAGTATCGTCGTAGAAGTAGAAGTAATAAGACGATCTAAAACGTACACGTACTGCGACTGAATATGTCACCTAATGCAAGCCTGATAATTTTACTCAAAACATCAAGACTTGTGAAGTTTACCACAAATTACGGCTTTTTAATACCCGTAAGTTTTCTGTTCGTAACAGCAAATATAGTTGCCTATCTATTATCTTGGTTAGTACATGTAGATCAGTCACACTTCCTATTGGACCTTGTGTGTATTCATCATGACTGTATTTGAAAAAGATCTCTATGAAAGTGTCCAAAGAAAGTACAAGAAAAATGGTTAAAACATAGAGTAAACATAAAGGAAATATTTGCCATATATGAAAAGGAGTGTATAAATTGTTTTATACTAGGTCATTTGATATACAGATATACAGATATACAGAGTGAAATACAGATATAGTTGTTGCCAATTTGAGGAGGAAATCCCGACTCATTTAAACCTTTCAAAAACTCTGTACCTCTATCTATGGGTTAGAACAATACAGGCTTCAAGCAGCTGCAAACCTCTATACCTATTGGCCCTTGTGTGTATTCATACCCGTAATCATCATGTATTTAAAATAGCTCTGTTTTGATAGTGTACAAACAATTAAAGTACAATAAAAGTGCATTTTAGTGAACATAAAAGGTAACCATGTCATATTGAAAAGGAATGTATAAATGGTTTATACTAGGTACAACAAAAATTCTGGTGTACTTTGAAAAATCTTTTAATTAAAACAGGAAAAGTCCTTCAATTAAAACAGATGCTAGAGGTACTTGTAAACTACATGTAGTATGGTACAGTTTACTGATAAAGAATTTTATTGAAAACTGCAAAATGATTGGCCATTGTATTATTACAGCTAAAAAAATGTAATATTTAAAGTTTGAAATTCTTAGACATGGGTCCGTATTTCACAAAAAATTCTTAGACATGGGTACCTATTATTTACAGCAAAAGGACCCTTGGATGTGGGTATGGGTTTGGAGGTCTCAGCCACACACCTCCGTCCGACTAAAATCTGAGTACCCCCCCCCCCCCCCCCCCCCCCCCCCAAAGCGCAAGAAGTACTCCAAGATAACCAATTTCTTCCAGGTATCTACTAGAAGAGAAGAAAAAGATAAAGAAGGTGAAAGTTCTGCCCTGCAAAATGAACCAAACATAGATCAAAGAGACAAGGAATCTGAGAAAGAAGTTCCAAAACCAATGTCCTTACAGAGGCAAATGATGAACATGATCTAAGTGGTCCTTCCACCATGTCCACAAGCAATGAAGGAGGGGAAAGAGATGAGGAAGGATTCCTTGGAAGTTAACCAAACCAACCTAATGCATTTGCCCACTGGTAACACAATACTTTCACAAGTTGATTTTTTGTTGGTAATGTCTAAATTTTGTTTAAAAATAGATGATATCAGTCTGGTAGGCCTACACTGCAGGCAAGAGTCAGGACTAACATTTAGCATGTTATTAATTTTATTACCACTCATATATTCTCTGAAATGTTATCTTTATTGAGGGTGACTTGAAAAAGTTAATAACTTGGGAGGGAGGGGGTGCAACCTGCCACACGCTTCTACCTCTTGGTTGCTTTGATACATTGCCAAAAATATTTTGACACCTTTCATCCCCCCCCCCCCCCCCCCCCAACCACGGATACAAATCGACACCCATGCTACCCGCTGTTGTGCTGCTCTTGTTGTTGAATAGGCCACTTATTTTGAAGACATTATTGTCGATTATTTCACAGAGAAACCAGAAGAGGTAAACAAGAAAGCTGTCAAGAGAGCTCAAGCTGGCAAAATTTCTGATGGTAAGTCTTTAAAAAAATTGATATCATTGTAATGTTTTGACATGCCATAACTTACCAGTTGAAAATGTATTAACCAACCCAAAACTTATTTACAGGAGTGAAATATGGCATTATGTTCATTATCATACATGCTTTCGTACACGCCCTAAACTAAACATGCATATTAAAAGTCGGGATGGATTCTAAATTTTAATACAAAACCCAAGATATTAAAATAATTTGAACGCAATACAATGGCATTCACATGGTCACCAATATGAATCTAATTTTGAAACTTATTTCTCATTTTTCTCTTCCCTAGGTTCAGCAGATGACATCAATACCATGGAGAATTTAGTGTATATTGTGCAATGTCAGAGACAAGACTCATCTTCTCCCAGCCCTTATACCTCTCCTTTCTAGCCAGCTAACTTTTCTTCTCTTAACACATCTGTCTCTCACGATAACGCCTCTTCTTTCTCTGCCTTCTCTCCTCCTGACACCTTCTCTGCTCCTAGCATTGCTGCCTTCTCTCCTGACACTTTCTCTGCTCCTAACACTGCTGCCTTCTCTCCTCCGGAGTCTTCCTTCTCTGCTTATGAAACTTTCTCTGCTCCTAACACTGCTGCCTTCTCTCCTCCGGAGTCTTCCTTCTCTGCTCACGAAACCTTCTCTGCTCCTAACACTGCTGCCTTCTCTCCTCCGGAGTCTTCCTTCTCTGCTCATGAAACCTTTTCTGCTCCTAACACCTCTGCCTTCTCTCCTCCGGAGTCTTCCTTCTCTGCTCATGAAACCTTCTCTGCTCCTAACACCTCTGCCTTCTCTCCTCCGGAGTCTTCCTTCTCTGCTCATGAAACCTCTGCTCCTAACACTGCTGCCTTCTCTCCTCCGGAGTCTTCCTTCTCTGCTCATGAAACCTTCTCTGCTCCTAACACCTCTGCCTTCTCTCCTACGGAGTCTTCCTTCTCTGCTCATGAAACCTTCTCTGCTCCTAACACCTCTGCCTTCTCTCCTCCGGAGTCTTCCTTCTCTGCTCATGAAACCTTCTCTGCTCCTAACACTGCCACATTCTCTCCTCCGGAGTCTTCCTTCTCTGCTCATGAAACCTTCTCTGCTCCTGACACTGCCACATTCTCTCCTCTGGAGTCTTCCTTCTCTGCTCATGAAACCTTCTCTGCTCCTAACACTGCTGCCTTCTCTCCTCCGGAGTCTTCCTTCTCTGCTCATGAAACCTTTTCTGCTCCTAACACCTCTGCCTTCTCTCCTCCGGAGTCTTCCTTCTCTGCTCATGAAACCTTTTCTGCTCCTAACACCTCTGCCTTCTCTCCTCCGGAGTCTTCCTTCTCTCCTATCACATCTTTCAATCATCCTCAAACCTTTTCCCTCACTCCTCATGTCACTCCTAATGCCACTCCTAACGCTTCTCATGTCTCTCACGTCACTCCTCATGCCACTCCTCATCTCCTCAAACTTCTCAACCTCTTGATAACACAGACCCAATGGGAAGTGTATTTCCAATTCTGCATTTTTCTACATGTGTGTTCTCCAAATTGTATTGTCTATAAATGTGAATATACCTTAAGCATAGAACAATGCATGATATAAGGAAATCAAAAATATTGTAAATTTATTGATAAGGTTTGTATTGGAGATACAGATTGGATCAAAAGGGCAAATAAAATTGCTTAAGCATTAATTCCCACCAGCCTAAAAATTTGTGCCAAGCACATCCACATGAAAGAAAAACAATTTTTTTCCTTAAATTTCCAGATTTGGGTACGGAAGTGAGGTTTTGTCTTCTGTTAAATTGAAAATTAAATATTAGCAACATCCAGACTAACTGATTTCATGATCATCAATTGCACTTACTGAGATTTACTGTGAGCACTTTAATCAATCAATAGTGATAATATAAAACATATCGGTCAAAGATTTCTTATAAACTGTGGTTTTGTTTTCTGTTTGCAAGTTCCACTTATGATTAATAAAAAGGACAATAAGTACAACAAAATCCTTGTACGATCCAAGGAGCTCCATTCCCTAATCACGAAGGCAGGGGCCTCACTAATGCCTGTTGTCATCCTGTTGAATGGAGCGATTGATTTGGTCTTTGCCAAGGAAGAACTTGCAGAGTCCGGGGGCATGGGCAAAAGGAAAAATAACAAGGCGCCCCTGGACTCTGCAAAAGTTGAAGCAGTGCAAGGTATGTCAGCATGTTCTAATATATCATACAAAGTGAACCTATTTGATCAGTTAGAGCCTTTCCTATTTTACAAGTAGTGTACCAAAGTTGTCAGAATGTCTGCTTCCATATTGAATCATTCAACATATCTGTCAGTTTATCCAGAAACTTTCATTTTATCTTGCAGAATTCGTCTTAGCCTTGTCAAAGAAGAGGGGATAGGCAATGCTAACTCCAGCAGACGTATCCCGAAAGTTTGCATACAAGGTCACAAATGCAAGGAAGGATTTAAAAAAAAAACATTATAAGATAATTAATCAGTAATTAAAGGTACTATATCCCATTTGCAGCCAACATCAAAATTAAAGTGGTATAATCTTGATTGTTTGTTTTTTCTCAGCTGTCTATCTCATGACTTGTTTTCAGGGAATGAAAGTCCAAACTGGAGAAGAAGTTGGAGACTCCGAAGCCCCGAAGTCAAAAGAAACAAGATAGATAATGTGGTATCATCAGAGAGACCAAAAAGACATGTGATTATGATTTTCTTAAGTCAAGACAATCATTAATTTGTGAAGCAAAATCCATGAATGCACAAAGTTCAATTAAATTTTTTCTGTGAATATAAGTTTATACCCATAACATTGTCAACATTTGATAAAATTTGCTTTATTTTGATAAACAAAACTTTCATTTATTTCAAACAGGGAATACCAAACCTTGGTAACACATGTTATATGACGCAACGGCTCAAGTGATTGGAGCCTCCCCATTGGCGCAGAAGTATCCAGGGCAAACAGAGCACAAGATTCCATCATTAGAAAAAATCCTACAACTGAAGGCAGCAAGAACAAACTGCGGGGTCAAGTAGGCTGTCATGGAGATTAAATAATTGATGCCCAAATACGCCAACAATGAGCAACATGACGCCGGGAAATTCCTGCGGGACATCATCACATCATCTTGCCTGCAGTGTGGTGCAGAATGTTCTTTTCGAAAGAGGTATACCTTTCTTTCAGAAAACCAGATGAAGGAGCAACAGCAGATGTCCCTTTTTCAGACTCAAGAAGACTTCTGACCAACTACATGAGAATGGAATGGCAGATTATTCCTTTTTTCAGAGGGTGCAGTTGCCTCTAGCTGCTCCGGTATAACCAGGCCACTATTTTCTGAAAAAGATAACTCACAAAATCTACAACCAGAGGATTTGATAGTTGATGGAGACGCATCATTGCCTCCGACTGAAAAACTAAAAAATCAGGCACGGAGCGGACATTTTTTTGTGATTTATACTTGCTTGCTTACCATAGGATATGCTTGTGAATATATATTTTTGATCAAGAGGGGTATAAGGAGGGCCGTTGCAAGAATAACTACAAGATCAAGCTTCTTGATCACAATATAATGATGAAGGAGAACCGGGAACGTAAATCACTGGAGCTGATCGCAATTATATATACATATTTCTTTCTTTTTCACAATCAGTCCTGTGATAAATGCAAGGAGGCACTAGTAGACAGGACAGATGAGGCTCCAGAAGTCTACTTGCAACTAATCAGGTTGAAAGACAATTCAGGTGGTTTCCTTTTTCAACATTTCCTCCAAAAGGAACAAGCGATGTCATGAGATCATTGACAGGGATGATGCTGACCGGCCATCATGGAAGAGAGGATGGTATTGATGAGATGTGAAAGATAAGGATGGAGCAGGATGAGGTAAAAGATGAGGACAGAGCTGCCAACCTTGTGCGACCAAAAAAGGGAAACATGATGGCAAAAAAAGGGAATTTCAAGCAAAAAAAGGAATTCATTATAACGAAACTTACAACCACCCGCAGCACACTTTTAATGCAGAAACGTCCATTCATCATGCTTTTTTCCCTCCATATTAGGACCTATAGTTTATTTACAAGTAACCCCTAGTTATTGTTTTAGGAGTATTATCAGCATTTCATTCTTTTTGAGAATATTTTTTCTCTTCAAGTATGTTTTCAAGTATGTTTAAAACTTACGTTTTCTATTGAATTTGTGATCAAATCAACATTTTAGGGCAGTTTGATAACGAAAACTTTTCATTGACAGAGTCCAATTACTATTAAATCTTATATAGATTGTTGAAACGCTCACAGACATGACGACATCGGAAGATTTTAAACCAGGAAAACTGCTACAGATGCCGTGGGACTACTAGCAGCGATTACTAAGTTTGCATTTGTCACTTGCCTATACACTGCTGGGTATCGTCTCGGGTATATAAAATCTGTGGGTTGGAATCTACAAAGGAGGCAGAGAGACATTTCATTGGGCTTGATGCAGGTGAAGATGGTTGAACAAAGGCTTCAACAGGTGAGTCAAGTCAATTATGTTTATGCATGCATTTAATGATCAAACATTAAAATTGGATATATTATTTTTTCCCTATTTGCTATAGATGTTTACCAAACTTTTCTGTAATTATTCAACTCCCATTAGATCTGGACCGACTGCTTAGAAAGTAAGCACCGTGAGATGTACGAGGCAGCATACACGTTGGGGAATGAGGCCGGCATTCGTCCTGCAAAACCAAGGGTGCATATCAATTCCTTCGCACTCCTTTTGGGTGATCAACCGACCCGCGCGCATTTTATATTACATGACATATTGTAAAATTCTCGACATCTTTTTACACTTTTCTTTACCATTAAAAATCGAAATTGAGTATAATATCCTCAATCGAGATATGAGAAGAAGGAAACATTTCCTTTACATTCTATGTAAAACCATGCCCTTACTTGAAAAAAAACCTCCGTCATTTTGACGTTAAACTTTACAATCCATTCCACTTTTTTTACTTTCTCATACATAATGTCCATTGATCGGCCGCACTGAGCTCGATTGCCTTTCAATATACCAATCTTCGACTTTGCAGCAACGCGTTTTGCGTCAAATGTGTAAATCCTCAATCCCAGACAATGACATATGATATAAGCTTTTCATACTTACAGCTAATTTTGATTGGTTCATTTTTAGCCCCGTCAATTTTCATGTCAAATCATGCTTCATGTCCCATTTTAGAAGCCCGACCCTGGGTTTTGTGCCAGCTAGCCGTGTATGCATACATGTACGTAATGCTATGCATACACATATAACTGAACATGCATAAGTACAGTACATGTACACACGCAGCGCAGCGCGTACGAGCGTACTGCACTACATTATACATCTTACTTTTCTGAACTCGAGAGTCTTTACTGCAACCTTTTGACCGGGCATTTTGACTCTTTTTTGGTAAGTGAAAATATTACAAATATATGTTTACATAAAAATTAATATTTTTTTAATTTTGACCTATCATTTGCTTTGCCTGAAAGTATTTGAAAATAAGATAAATGGAGTAGTACTAACTTGTTAAAAAGTTCAGACTAATCCCGACCAGCGCAGCAGCACAACGTAGTTTGTATATCAAATCTACTGTAGATGTGGACGGAGAAAGAGCGAATTGGTGTTCTTGACTTTGTCTTTGTTTTAGATCTTTTCTTCGAAGAGTTTGATTCTAGCAATGAAATTAAGCTAATTTTAGTAAAGTATGTAAATATGTGATGCTCTTCATGACATTATCACTTCATATACCATTGAGATTTGGGATCATTTACTGTACAAAAAAAATGTATAGACTATATCTGAGATTGAGAAATCTAAAAAATTAGATATGAAGCAGCATCGGCCATTTCATTGGGTCAGTACCATTATGAAAATAGGGGAACAATGAGTGGGATGGGTTTAGTGCCGTCACAATAAACTTGCGCATTACACGCGTACGTATAATTAGAGCAATTTATGCACCCCCAAGAAATAATGAACACGGCCCGACCTCTCTACACACAGAACTGCACAGATACCGCACAGTCCGGTCAAGGCGGTACGCGTAGCGTTAAACTGCCAAATTTACAGAAATTGTGAGGAGCGCTTTTGCTATGAAAGGAATTGATATGTGTGGGCGTCAAAAACACAAACCAAATTCTAGGGCAGTAGATGACTGTGGAGCCTAGGAATACCACAGGGTGAATCTGACCATTCCATTTGTGGATCATCTCTCATCAGAATTTTCATCAAGAGTCGGTTGAGGACAACTATGAGTGAGGAACAACTCAACGGGTTATCTCAAATGCTTGTACACAGACCAACACCCATCGATGTCAACATGGTTATTCAGACCTTTGCCCTTAAAAACAAGTGTAAGATGTGGCGTGCATCTGTGTTCGATGACCCCAATGACGTTTAGAAATACCAGGTAGGGGTAGCTTCAGACAGCCAGTTTCAAAAACTACGAAACTAGACCTCAACAAAAATTAAGTGACATTTAAAAAAAAAATCTGAAACGAGCACAAAATAATACCGGTAGTTGGTCTTATTTTTGGTGTATTTTGTAGATTCTTAGCAACATACATAACACTTTTGTTGGCAGCATGAACCCCCAGGTTCTAATCTTAGCAACAGGCATGGCAGTGTCTCAACTCAGGAACTGTGATCTCCACAGATGAACTGTTTACAAGGTAATCCACAAGTACACCTCCCCAGAAAAAAATAATGAAATATTAAGACAATGTGAATTTACAAAGATGATCACCGTTTTAAAGGGAAAGGACACTGTTTTGCAGGGTCAAAGTCAAAAGTTATGAGACTATGCTTGTTTTGTGGGAGAGAGAGAGATTGCCATACAAAAATAGAAATGGATGGGTCTTGCTCATTTGGTAGATATGTTTGTGAGAATAAAGACCAATTCAGAATTTCTGATTACTGAAAGTATATTTCAAGCCTTATTATTTCACTAATGCATAGAGTAAAGGAGGTTTTTGGGGGCCACTTAAGCATTTTTTGTACATTTTACTTTAGTAAATAGAAACAATTAAATTTTTATGACATAAAGTGTTGATACATATTCTTCCTTAATAAATAGTATATTCAACTTACTACGACAAGACACATTTCCATGGCAACAACGATAATTGCAAAAGCTTTCCGGGAGGTATTTTTCGTCCGTGACATTTATGCGCCATGTATGAGACATGCTGTTGTGTAACAAACAAATTAAAAAGGTAATCTGAAAATGATATCTATTGTTGATGTGAATATTTTTATGATATATAATCTGAAATGATATCTATTGTTGATGTGAATATTTTTATGATATATAATATATGCACATTCCTAAAGTATAAGTCATTTCCATGACAACAGGAATAATTGAAAAAAGCTTGTCAGGAGGTAGTTTTTGGCCAGCGGGGGTCGTTTAATTAATGCGCGATGTATGAGACCTGGAAGTGACATTACTTATGCCGTTGTGTGCTACTTCTTGTAGACGGCCACAGGAGCCATCTATCGCTCGAGGTGGCCGAGCTGTGCTTGGAAAACAAGATAATACTCTGTTTTCCAGCACATGCCTTGCACGTAATCCAACCGTGTGACTTGAGCCTCTTCAAGTCACACGGTTGGATTACATGTGAAGCTCCTGAAGGCACTTACATAGGACGCTCCCCCTCCGGCTGGATGAACAGCGAGTTTTTTGTGGTTATATTGCCAACTGTTTTATTCCCTTCCTCAAACAGAAGGGGGTTACTCTCCCAATCCTGCTCCTTGTAGACGGCCACAGGAGCCATCTATTTCTCGAGATGGCTGAGCTGTGCCTGGAAAACAGGATTATTCTATACTGTTTTCCAGCACATGCTTCACATGTGCTCCAACCGTGTGACTTAAGCCTGTTTAAGTCCCTGAAGGCAAAGTGGGCAGCCACCGAGAGGTCCCACAGGATGCACCATGAGGATGCTTCAGTCACCAAACTCACATTCGCACGAGGAGAGGAGACAACATCCGACCCCATGATTGCTTGGAGTGGGATGCTGAGAAGGCAATATCTAGAGCGGAATGGAGGACATTGTGAGAGGGCAGGATGGAAGACGAGGATTGGGGGTTGGTCAAATCCGTAAACATGTGAGGAGGCTCACTGAACAAGAAGTCAGAACAGATATTAGCAAACTAGTCGTGAAGGAGCATGATAATTTATGTGACATAAATTAATTCACATAAATTATGTGAAAGCTGTACAGATGCCAGTTCAAGGAGCTTGGTCGGCATAGGAAGGAGTGCAGCAAAAGAAGCTGTCCTGGAGGAATCTGTTTGATACCAGCCCTTTATTGCTACAATTCATGATTGGTTCGGCATATGCCACTGTAGCATCAACATCAAAACTGAAGCCTTGGGGATTAAGTGAAGACGATGCTTGCAAGCTTCGTCAACAGAGAGCAACGACTACACATATTCTTGCTGGCTGCTTGACAGGTCTCCAACAAGGCCGGTACACTTGGCGTCACAACCATGTACTGGGTACCACTGGGGATGTTTTGAAGACGAGGATAATAGTACACAACCAAAAGCCGACCCGAACACAAGCATCCTATATAAATTTCGTCAGGGAAGAAGAGACTGGAAATGGATCAGGCAGATATTCTACAGGAATGCAGAGGACTTGCCTTGATGGAGCCAGCGATTGGAACATTCAAATCGACTTGGGGGGAGAAGTTAATTTTTCCTCCATCCATTGTCGTGACAGATTTGCGGCGTATATAATGTCGTAAGTTGGTCCCCCACTTGAAAGAGGGTAAATCTTCTGGAGCTGATGGTACCTGATGAGGCAAATATGGATCCAAAGTGCTTAAATTCCACGAAGTGGTACCCACTAACGATTGGAGCCCTTGCCTGAGGACTCCTTGGTTGAAGGGGAACCAGCTCAAAAAGATCAAGGTTCCCAAGGAGATCAAGAGCAAGAGTGCTATCATTAAAGGAAAAGAAATACTGGTAAAGCATACATCAGTGAGAAGATGAGAAAACTAATGCCGAGGTCCGAGGTCCGCAAATTGGACAGCAGACGAGAAGAATTATCTTGTCCAACTTGTTTCAGAGAAAATAAGTGTAGTGGAATCTAAGAGAAACGAATACGAAACGGTTTCCCAAAAATCAAGTGTTTGGGAAGAAATTTCTCAGGAGTTTAATGCTCGATACGGACGGAAAGGGGGGAGGGGGGCTAAATCCTGTTTGGAGCAATGGAAACGAATGAAACAAATAGCGAAGACGGAATGGAGTCAGTGAGAAGACCAGAAAGCTGATGCCTGCGCGTGGGAAAACATATGACACCCACATGTACAGTGTTGAAGAAGATGTGACTCCAGAGTTTTCCTGTGCATCATACAATAAAGAAAGGGTCAAAATCCGCTCCTCCTTCTTCGATCTCAACAATCTTCAGAAGCAAAGAGAATGGATAGCAAGACATTTCAACGCAACAATGACAGATACAAATGGACAAGCCAGAAAACAGAGGCAATATGGAATGGTCTTGGAGAGTGCATCAAAAAAGAAGTGGTTCCAGGAAAAGACGTGTGTCTCCAGCGCCAAACAAAAATCCTATACTAGAAGGAAGCTTTCAGAGTATGGGACATGTGAATATCATAGGGGTACACAGAATCAGAAGGAAGATCTTGCAACCGACTACGCAAATCGTATCAAGGAGAAAAACACAGTGAGGGAGAAGAAGAAAAAAGCTAAGGAAAGAGCTAAGGAAAGAGCTAAGGAAAGAGCTAAGGAAAGAGCTAAAGAAAGAGCAAAGGAAAGAGCTAAGAAAAGAGCTAAGGAAAGAGCTAAGGAAAGAGCTAAGGAAAGAGCTTGTACAGATCCAACCTTCAACGCTGCTGTTTTTGACCTACGGCAAGTCATCTACATCCCAAATTCTGCCTGCTCTGAGCTTTTTTTACAAATGTAGATTAGCCAATTACTATTTCACCGTTTTCAGTCGTGGTACCAAGGAAGGAACTAGCTACCTATTGCATGAAGGGCAAACCAAACTCGGATCTTGTGAAATTGGTTCATACATACTTTCATATCTGTTTGGTCTCGATAACAATGGCATTGAAGAAGTAAGATATATTTGCCGATGGTTGCCCTGGACAGAATAAGAATTCTATTCTGCACAGTACGATGTTGACCTTCATAGAAAGGGCAAAGTGTATCAACAGCATCAAACAATACTTCTTTGGAGTTGGACAGGGGCAGTCGGAGAGAGACTCTATGCATAGTGTCATAGAAAGAGCTATCCAGCAGGTGGGAGAGATGATGTTACCAGCCCGGCTTGCCTGCATGTGTAGCATGGCAAGAACTCATCCCTAACCTTACGTGGCCATTACAGTGAAGAGTTCTGAAGTTATGGATTGGAAGACATACAGCCAAAGGAATTATCTTGTTTCAGAGAAAATAAGTGTAGTGGAATCTAAGAGGAACGATTACGAAACGGTTTTGCGCAAATCAAGTGTCTGGGAAGAAATTTCTCAGAAGTTTCATGCCCAATACGGACGGCAAGGGGGGGGCTAAATCCTGTTTGGACCAATGGAAGCGATTGAAACAAATAGTGAAGACGGAATGAAGTCAGTATAGACAGGATGTGATGGAAACTGGACGAGGTCAAGTTGAGAAAAAAATCTCTCAGTTGACCTCGATCCTGCGGGATATCATCCCGAATGAGTTTAAACAAATTCATAACCCATTCGACGACGATGCAACTCTGACGAAATTACAAAACGATGAGGCAGTGTCTGCCCTCGAGTACAAATGCAGGAAACAGCAACGCTCAGAAAGTATTCCACTCAAGTCATATTCTAGAGGTTTTTACAGTGGCCCTGCTCAGTCAGCGTCTGCAAAGAAAGATCATGCATACGATGAATACTTGGCCCAGGAAAGAGAGGAGATCAAGGAAGAGCGCAAGAAATTTCTGCTCGAAAAAGGAAAATTCCAACTAGAAAAACTATTGATCATTTTGCAAATACAGAAATTACAGATGGACATGGATGAAAAAAAAGAGAAACGATAACGAAAGAGTTTCCCGGAAAATCAAGTGCCTGGGAAGAAATTTCTCAGAAGTTTCATGCCCGATACGGACGGCAAGGGTGGGAGGCAAAATCCTGTATGGAGCAATGGAAGCGATTGAAACAAATAGCGAAGACGGAATGGAGTCATTACAGCCAGGATGTGTTGAAAACTGGAGGAGGTCAAGTGGAGAAAAAAACCTCAGTTGACCTCGATCCTGTGGGACATCATCCCGAATGAATTTAAACAAATACACAATCCTTATGACGACGATGCGTCGGTGACGCAACACAACGATGAAGCAGTGTCTGCCCTCGAGTACCCATGCAGGAGACAACAATGCTCAGAAAGTGTTCCACTCAAGTCATCTTCTTCTAAGAGGTTTCGCTGTGGCCCTGCTTCGTCAGCGACTGCAAGTAGGAAAAATGTATACGATGAGTACTTTGCAGAGGAAAGAGAGAAAATCAAGGAAGAGCGCGAGAAATTTGTACTCGAAAAAGGAAAATTCCAACTAGAAAAGCAATTAATCAAGTTGAAAATACAGATGGAAATGGATGAAAAGAAATGCTAGGTCGATGATTTTGAACTCTAACTCTAGGTTCATCCTTGCAAATGTGGCATCATTTATATTTGAGGGAAATCCCATCAAGAAAGTAAGCAAATAAGATGTGACAGCACATGATTGAAACGACAGCCCCGAAAAACATGTGAGACACAGCAGCAGGAAAGTAACTGTTGAAGAATGGAAATGCCCTCAAAACCTGGAAATGACCAAAACATGAAGGTGTAAAACTCAATCGCACTTTATCCTATAAGAAGCACATCGAGAAGACAATAGGAACACTTTTTCTATCAGGTATGTTAACTGATCAGTGACTACCAGAAAAGTCAAGTTTGACCGCGAGTAAGTCCTTTGAAAATCACGAAGGCCTGATTTTAAGTTATACGAACGAGGAATACAAACATGGTAGCATACTCATTTCTGGCATGGATGAAGCCCAGGGTGGGAAGGTGAACATGAATTAAGCGTGCTCGTTTCAACGACAGATAGGGATACATGAGTGATTTATCAACGTCACTGCAGGGGCACCAGAGGTGTATAAATATAATTTGTTTGAATGGTCTTTTTAGTGGATGATAATGTCAAAGTAGCTGCCTGGCTATCTACTGAAGAGAGCATACTGTACGGCAGACATGGAAGATCACTTAAGCTTAGTTACAAGTAACATTAACTCTTAAGCTGCCCCCATGCAATTCACCCAGTGCCACAGTGCTAATCCCTATTGTGCCAGCCACTAATCCCATGTGTGCCAAGTTAATTTAGGGTACCAGGTAGGTTCAATTAGCGTGTGTACTAATATGCACGAAACGTGTACGTGGTACGCGAGTGAATGAGAGTTTATGTGTGCATGGCAAGCCACCAGAAACCCGATTATGTGAGCGTGGCACGCCAGCGCATACATGGAACAGTGTTCTTGGCACGATATGAGTTAATGCACTATGGCATTAGAGAGGATCGCCAAGGGCACCAAAGGTGTATAAATATAATATGTTTCAATGGTCTCTTTAGTGGGTAGTAATGTTGAAGCAGCTGCCGAGCTATCTAATGAAGATAGCATACTGTACGGCAGACATGGTAGGTAACATAAGCTTAGTTACAAGTAACATTAATGCGCTATGGCATTGGAGAGGATAGCCAGGGGCACCAGAGGGGTAAAAATATTATATTTTTGAATGGTCTCTTTAGTTGATGGTAATGTCAAAGTAGCTGCCTATCTATCTAATGAAGATAGCATACTGTACGGCAGACATGGTAGATCACTTAAGCTTTAATAGTTACAAGTAACATTAATGCGCTATGGCATTAGAGAGGATCGTATGAGAGTCACAGATATGTGAGCAGCTATGGCTGTACAAGTTTGGTAGTAACATGTCCCCTGCTTGCCTAGCATATGTTGATATCTACTTAAGATAGCATATGGAACAAAAAGATAAATATGTACATACACTGTTGCTCATAACGGTGGAATATTTTTTTTTATCCCAATTTATGGAATTATTTTAAAAATAATTTTAAAATACTAGATCTAGATAATAGTATACAGTCTCAGATTTTATTGAATAATAATTTGCCAATATGTGTTTTGCGTGACTGCTAAAGCATGTATATTATGCTACTATGTTTATCAACTAGGGGACCTATGCCCTTAAGTCATAAATGACAGTAATGAGGATTAATGCCTCACAAAAGGGCTCTGATATAGCACATCGACACGGTGTTGATCCTAGGGCCTCACAGTTACGAGGCCATTGCTTTGTCACTGAACCATGACTGTACGCAGCGGGGGCTAGGGTAGGGGGCAGTTTCCATAAATTTAAAAAAAAACAGAAAATGCAATAAATATTCAATAATTTATTGCATTCTACCCCGGTCCCCAACATAAAAAAATCCTCTGGACGGCCATTTATTATGGCTCAAGGCATGGGCACACAGAAGATTTTTTTATGTTGGGGACCGGGTAGAATGCAATAAATTATTGAAAATTTATTGCATTTTCTGTTTTTTTTTTAATTTATGGAAACTGCCCCCTACCATAGCCCCCGCTGCGTACAGTCATGGTTCAGTGACAAAGCAAGGGCCTCGTAACTGTGAGGCCCCAGGATCAACACCGTGTCGATGTGCTATATTAGTGCCCTTTTGTGAGGCATTAATCCTCATTACTGTCATTTATGACTTAAGGGCATAGGTCCCCTAGTTAATAAACATAGTAGCATAATATACATGCTTTAGCAGTCACGCAAAACACATATTGGCAAATTATTATTCAATAAAATCTGAGACTGTATACTATTATCTAGATCTAGTATTTTAAAATTATTTTTAAAATAATTCCATAAATTGGGATAAAAAAAAATATTCCACCGTTATGAGCAACAGTGTAGTAATACTGATATGGCTTACATCTGCCTAAAATGGAGAGAGCTTGTACCAGGCGATTCTAAAGTACTTACATGTATGTGCAGGGGTGATAGTGAGCACTATTAAAAAAAAAGGTTTTTCTGTTTTCCCCTTAGCCACGCCCCCCTCGAGTAAAAAAAAGAAAAAGATTCGCAGGGAAAAAATGGCATCTAACAACATTCCCTCCTTTCAAGAAAATTGGGAAAAAATAGGGAAGAATAGAGAAAATCAGGATGAAATAGGGAAGAAGAAAAAAATCTGTTAAAAAAATTAATGAAAATAAAAAATAAAAATAAAAATCTGATTTTTTTTTTTTTTTTTTAAATCGGGAAGAAGAAAAAAAATCGGGAAAAAATCAAAAAATCGGGAAACCGATTTAAATTGGATTTTTATCAGGCTTGATGTGGCATATTCAGCATATTCACAACTTGATCAAGGGTCGTGTTTTTATTGAAAGAATTACGTGTATGCAGGATGGATGTCAGAGAACATTACTTGGCCACGCACACAAATGCTAATTGGAAAAAGATAATAGTCTTTCTTTGCTTGGCACAGAGCAGAAGTATATTTCTATATTTAGTATACTTGACTTAGATTCATCAGTCTGCTTTGCTTTGTATCTACAAAACAAACGATTCTTTTTATTTAATGACCTAAGTAAACACTTAGTGACCCATGGCATTCGAGGTATTTTTTTATATTCTTGCTTACTTCTTTGCACCAGGGGAAAGCATCTGTCATAAAATAACACTATTATATCCATGAATTTATCAAAAGGCTTATCAACTTCTGTTTCACATAAAACTTTGTTCCATTCATCAGTTTCCAATCCAAAAGTACTTGGAATGAATTTCTAGAATACCCAAATAAGAGGACTGACCAGTTTGATGGCGGTCATCGTAAAAACAAAAACAGAGGTCATGAACATTAACTTGCTGAAGAGA